TAATTAGGTCACTTTGTTCTTCAGTTTTCTTCTTCATTTTGCTTCGCCGATTAGTGCAACAACATTTCTTATTTACTAACTTGATGCAGATTATTGTAAAGCAACTGAATCTTGAGAAGAAGTTAAATGGTCACGATGGCTGTGTAAACGCTGTAGAGTTTAACTCGACTGGCGATCTTCTCGTGTCCGGTTCCGATGACTGTAAAGTTATACTATGGGATTGGGCAAGAAATTCCGAGAGGTTTTCGTATCCTTCTGGTCACCTCGACAACATATTCCAGACCAAAATTATGCCATTCACTAATGATCAGAAAATAGTTACTTCGGCTGCAGATGGAAAGGTGATTTTCCATAATATGAAGTGATATATCCTGCCATTCATTACTCTTCGTTGTTGCTTGTGTAGCTGTGTTCATTGGCTTTACATTTTTTTGGTAAAAGAAGAGAGAAATTTTGCAAGGGGCTGGAATGATGTGGCGGGAGGTTTTATACCGATAGATGTATGTAATAGTCCAAGGTTACTGGTAGATGTTTCACCATTAGCCTCATAGATTTTAAAACGCATCTTTCAGAGTTATACAATGGTGGGCTCCCAAGGGGAGTGGATTGAGAGATCTCACTAGTTGGAGAGGGAAACAAAACATTCCTTGTAAGGGTGTGGAAACCTCTCCCTAGCAAACACTTTTTAAAACCGTGAGGCTGACGGTGGGCTTGGGCTGTTACAAATGGTATTAAAGCTAGACACCGCTTCGAAGGGGTAAAACCGTGAGGCTGACGGTGGGCTTGGGCTGTTACAAATGGTATTAAAGCTAGACACCGCTTCGAAGGGGTAGATTGTGAGATCTCATATTAGTCGTAGAGGGGACGAAGCTTGCCGTGTAAAAGAAACACAAACATTGTGGTTTAATGGTTTATCTAAGGATTTAGTGGGGAAGTCAATACAATGTGACGATTAATTGAATAACTTTTTCCAAGAATAGGGCTTCTAATACTGAAGCTTTTGTTCATTTTAGCTCATTTTTCTGTCTGGCTTTGGCTTTATTGCCTTGAGCGCCTTCCATTCCCTTTGGTGGATGCTGATCAGTCTGTTGGGGATTGTTGGGAGGGAGTCCCACATTGGCTAATTTAAGGAATGATCATGGGTTTATAGGTAAGGAATACATCTCCATTGTAATAAGGCCTTTTGGGGGAGCTCAAAGCAAAGCCATGAGAGCTTATACTTAAAGTGGAGAATATCATACCGTTGTAGAGAGTTATGATTTCTAACTAAGTCCTCGTCGATATGCAACTACATTGTGTTTTTCTTTTCTTGCAGGTAAGACTTGGGCAAGTGTTGGATGATGGCAGAGTTGTTGCAAAAATGTTGGGGGAGCACCAAGGCTCTGTTCATGAGCTTGCTGTGGAGCCTGGAAGCCCACACATACTTTATAGCTGTGGTGAAGATGGTCTTGTGCAGCATGTAAGTAAGTCTGCTAAATGATTCTCTTATGAAGTTTTTTATTCCATTTATGATGTGGGCTGCCTTTATATTCCAATTTTCAGTTCGATTTACGCAATTCTTCTGCAATAAAACTTTTCTATTGCACCTCCTTTGCTGAAAGGAGCAAGCAGCCTCCTAAAGTTGTTGGACTGAATGCCATTGTAAATGACCCAAGAAATCCAAATTACTTTGCGTTGGGTGGTTCGGATGAATACGCACGCTTATACGATTTGAGAAACTGCGGCGGTGGTGCATTTTCGACGTCGAATAGAGTTCTTGATACTTTCTGCCCGCACCATTTGATCCAAACTAACAATTTCCATATCACGGGTTTGGCTTTCTCAAATTCAAGTGAGCTGCTAGTAACTTACAGTGATGAGCTTATTTATTTGTTTCAGAAGAATATGGGGTTAGGCCCTTCACCATTGACTGTGTCATCTGAGAATTTGTTGCGGAAACTTAAACGGCCACAGGTTTACTCAGGACATAGAAATTCAGCAACAGTTAAAGGTGTGAATTTCTTTGGCTCAAATTCTGAATATGTTGTGAGTGGCTCTGATTGTGGTCATATATATATTTGGAAGAAGAAGGGAGCTGTGCTTGTGAAGTTAATGGTGGGTGATCGGAATGTTGTGAATCATATCGAGCCCCATCCACATTTGCCTATTCTTGCTACGTGTGGCATTGAAAAAAATGTGAAGATTTGGACTCCTATGGCTTGTGATGTTCCTCCATTGCCTGATGACATTGAACAAGTAATATCTCACCTCTCTCATGTTGTCTCTATGGTTCATTTTGTTTCGTTCTCTCCGTTACTTTGAGTATATGTTAAACCATTGTTAAATCCATAAGCTTAAATAGAGTTTATGTTAAACGGTACGATTCCACATCGGTTGGAGAACGGAATGAAACATTCTTTAAAAGGGTGTGAAAATTTCTCCCTAGTAGACGTGTTTTAGAACCTTAAGGGAAAGTCCAATAGGGCAATATTTACTAGCGGTGGACTTGAACTGTTATAAATGGTATTAAAGCTAGGCACCGAGTGGTGTGCCAGCAAGGACACTGGGCCTCCAAGGGGGTGGATTGTGAAATCCCACATCGGTTGGAGAGGGGAACGGAGCATTCTTTAAAAGGGTGTGGAAACCTCTTCTTAGTAGACGCGTTTTAAAACCTTGAGGAGAAGCTTAGGAAAACCCAATGAGGATAATATCTGGTAGCGGTGGACTTGGGTTGTTACAAATGGTGTCCAGGTATCGAGTGGTGTGCCAGCGAGGACGTTGGGCCCCCAAGGGGGGTGGATTGTGAGATCCCACATCAGTTGGAGAGGGGAACGAAGTATTCTTTAAAAGGGTGTGGAAACCTCTCCCTGGTAAACGCGTTTTAAAACCTTGAGGGGAAGCCCAATGAGGACAATGTCTGCTAGTGGTGGACTTAGGTTGTTACAAATGGTATCAGAGCCAGGCATCGAGCAGTGTGCTAGTGAGAACACTGGGTCCCCAAGGGGGGTGGATTGTGAGATCCCACATCGGTTGGAGAGGGGAACGAAGTATTCCTTAAAAGGGTGTGGAAACCTCTCCCTAGTAGACACGTTTTAAAACCTTGAGGGGAAGCCCAATGAGGACAATGTCTGCTAGTGGTGGACTTAGGCTGTTACAAATGGTATCAAAGTCAGGCACCGAGCAGTGTGCTAGCGAGGACACTAGGTCCCCGAGGGGGTGGATTGTGAGATCCTACGTTGGTTAGAGAGGGGAACAAAGCATTCCTTAAAAGGGTATGAAGACCTCTCCCTAGTAGACTTGTTTTAAAACCTTGAAGTGAAGCGCAGAAGGGAAAGTCCAATGAGGACAATATCTGCTAGAAGTGGACTTGGACGGTTACAAATGGTATCAGAGCTAGGCACTGAGTGGTGTGTCAGCAAGGACATTGGACTCCCAAGGGGAGTGGATTGTGAGATATCACATCAGTTGGAGAGGGAAATGAAACATTCCTTAAAAGGGTATGAAAATCTCTTCCTAGTAGACGCATTTTAAAACTTTGAAAAGAAAACCCAAAAAGGACAATATTGCAGTATACGGTATACTTGAGTTGTTACATAAACCATTGCTAAACCCAAAAGCTTAAACCCGGATGTGCCGCAGAATATTTAATCTTGTATGAATATTCTTCTTAACACCCTCTAAATTACTCATTCCTTAAGAACTAAGAACTTCTTTTTCTCATAACTACACATGCATGGTTGACCAGATAATGGAGTCCAATAGGCAAGGAAGGGAAGACCACTCGAGGGTGACCCTTACTCCCGACGTTATCATGCATGTCCTGCGCCTGCAAAGAAGGCAAGCATCTGCATTTACAGAACGAAGATACAGCGCAGGCGATATCGGCAGCGATGAAGACAATGAATGGGAAGCTCAGAATCTGGAGTTCCTTGATGGTAATGTTTCTTTTGAAGAAGATTCAACAGAATATTCATCTGACTGTAACATCAGCTAGCATTCCTCCACATTATGATGAACAACTGCTGCCTTCCTTTTATCAGCTTTTCATTGCAAATTTTGCATCACAGCTCATTAGATACGGTGGTTTACTCAATAAGTTGTGATTCTTCTGTTTCTTTCTCTCCTTTTTTTACTGGAATTAACAACATGACATGTCAAAGAGTCTAGAAGAGTTGTGTAGTGATCGAAGAAATAAACCTCGCATCAAAACGTGCGAGGCCGAAATGTAGTTTGGACGAGTATTGATCTACTCTTGAAACACTAATGTTATACTTTATATGAATTTTGAACGAGGGTTCGATGAATTATGTATATATTAGTGATATGTTTGAAGCTGTATGTTTAATGAGTTGTTGATATGTTATTGATACACCAATGTTGTATTTGAAATTGCATTTAAAATGGGTGTAATGAGAATGAACAATTCACACGAGATTTTGAAACTAAGTTGGAATCAGTTTTGAGAGTGTCTGTGTAACATTCCAAGCACACCGCTAGTAGATATTGTCCGCTTTGGTCGGTTGCGTATCGCCATCAGTCTTACTGTTTTAAAACGCATTTGTTCGGGAACGATTTCTACCCCCTTATAAGGAATCCTTCGTTTTTCTACACCCTTGAATACTTTGTTTTTCTATCCCCTTATAAGGAATATTTCGTTCTCTTCTTCATTCTCTTCGATTGTAGGACCTCATAATTCACCCCATTGGGCCAGTGTCTTAATTCACCTCCCTTGGAGGCCAATGTCCTTGTCCCCCCTTAGGGACAGTGTCATCGCTAACACATCACTCAATATCTAATTCTAATTGTGTCATCGCGAACACACCACTCAATATCTAATTCTAATTTCGTTTGTATTAATAGCTCAAGTGGATGAATGACGATTTGAATTAAGGATGAGGAAACAAATTATCAATTTATTTTTATTTTAAATAAAGAAACAAAAATAAATAAATTCTTGAAAAATGGTTTTAAAAAAGTAAAAATGAATCGCTGTTTCTTACGATCAAAATTTCAATCTCAACGACAAATCATGGTGCTTATCCACTGTGTTTCCTTCTGTTTTGGCGCCATTTCAACTGCTTACCAGGCGTCGGATCAACCATTCTAGGGTTTCGCCTTTGGCGGGAAAGCAAAGAACGGAGCCAGATAGCATGATTTGACGTAGAGATTCAAGGCGATAGAATGGCGAACAAATTAATTAATCAGATGGGATTACCCAGATCGATAGCTAACATTTTCGCAGCGCGAAATATTAACACAGCCAAGGTAATGATGGAACTTTGGAATTTCGTGATTCCTCACCATTAATTTGTCGATTTGTTCTTCCAGTTCGTGTTTAATACGCCGTAGGAACCGAAGTGGAGCCTTTACATCATGTAGTTCAGATGACCACTCATTGGAAGTCCTTTGTATGGAAATTGAACCACTGCAATGGTTCTTAATTTAGAGTCAGTTCATAATGTCACGCACTGAATGATCTCTCTCTCTTTTGAGCTATTTTTTCAGGCTCCGTCATTATTTTTTGCCCTGTAGCCTATTTGAGCCTATAGAAAATGTTTTTTCTGCAGTATCAGTATATTTAATTTGTTTCAGGAAGCTTTATCCTTAACTGAGTTTGAGTTGATGGAGTTATTGGACGTGGGATTATCGGAAGTTGCATCTGCAGTTGCACACATTAGTGAAATCGCTTCTCCTCCTTATCAGACCGTAAGCATTCAGTTGATTCTGTTTAATTGGTTGATTTTAGAAGTGATGTTCTTGTGGCGCCTGCAGGTGCTTTCTTTGATGGAGCAAAGACTTCAAAACGAGCATTTAGCTGGCCATCTTTCCACATGTTTAAAAGGTTTAGATGAGGCCTTATTTGGTGGGATTCCATTTGGTGTTTTGACAGAACTTGTTGGTCCTGCTGGAATTGGCAAGACGCAAGTGTGATTCTTTCCTACTTTTCCGGTTTGATAATAATCTAAAATTTATATCTGAAAATTTTTACTGATTGGTGTATCAATTGAGAATCTATGATTGCGTTTAAGGGGAAGCATTTTTTACTAATTTTGAGTCGCTACTTCTGCTGGTTGATGAATTTCAGTTTTGCTTGAAACTCTCTTTCTTAGCTGCTCTGCCACCGAGCTACGGAGGTTTAGCTGGCCGTGTGATATATATTGATGTGGAATCTAAGTTTAGTTCCAGAAGGTATTTTAAGTACCCCATGCTACTCATTATTTCTATATTTGTGTAATGGGTTGTGAGATCCCACATCGATTGGAGAGGAGAACGAAACATTCATTATAAAGCTGTGAAAACTTCTCCCTAGCAGACGCGTATTAAAACCGTGAGGCTGATGGCGATACATAATCGGCCAAGGCGGACAATATCTCCTAGCGGTGGACTTGGGTTGTTACAAATGGTATCAAAGCCAGACACCGGGCAGTGTGCCAGCAAAGATGCTGGAACCCCAAGGGGGGTGGATTGTGAGATCTCATGTCGGTTGGAGAGGGGAACGAAGTATTCCTTATAAAAGTGTGGAAACCTCTCTCTAGCAGACGCGTATTAAAACCGTGAGGTTGACAGTGATACGCAACGGGTCAAGGCAGACAATATCTGCTAGCAGTAGACTTGGGCTGTTACATGGATACATCACTCTTGTGCTTTTTCTCCCTGTTTTTCTCTCCAGGATGATTGAAATTGGCATGAGAAGCTTTCCTGATGTATTTCAGAAGAAAGACATGGCAAAAGAGGTAGTAAAATAATAAATATTCTCTTCTTTTAAAATTTTAATTTATAGTACATAAGATGGATCGTGCTCAATTTACATTCCAGATGGCTGGTAGGATCCTTGTTTTGCGGCCAGCATCACTTTCTGAATTCACTGAGAGGTTTGGATCAAAGTCAAAGACATGTTATTTGGCCTAGCTATGTCATTGATAGATTAGGGAAAAAAAATGCTCACCTCATTTGTGACGACATTTTCAATATCTGCCATGATAAGACGAGTTTCTGCTGTCTGTTTCCTTTCCAGTTTACACAAAATCAAGGTTTCACTTCTTGAGCAAGAAATAAAGCTAGTAATCATTGATAGCATGGCTGCTCTTATTACTGGGTAACTCACCTTTTTTGTTTTCCTTATCTCATGATGTACTCTACCTTCTGTTCAAATGAGGCTTCTATGCCTAGCTTCAGTTGGGGTCTCATTGATATGTCTTTACGTAGCTTCAGTTTTTCTGTTTATTCAGTTTTCCAGAGTTCATCAAGAGTCCTATAATTATGCGTAACTCTTTTAAAATTTTAGCGAAATACTATTTTTTAGAAAATGTTCTTGAAAAATGAGTAAACTAGCTTTGATCTGTTGTGCTATAATATATTTTTGAAGAGAACTCTTCATGTTATTTGAAATGAAACCACATTGGGTTAAGAATGGTTGTTCATAGTGTGCATTTCTGTCGATTTCTTTCTGATGCTTCAAGAAAATGGTTCTTTTTCCAGAGAATATGAGCAAGGGGCACCCAAACAGCATTCATTGGGTTGGCATATTTCATTTATCAAGTGAGATTTACTTTCGCTTTACTTACTCCAGTTGGGTTTTGTTGTGTTTGGTAACTGTTCCATTTATCTTCTGAGTGTTGTCATTTGATTTCCCACCATCTCAGGTCAATTGCTGAGTTCGCACGAATTCCAATTGTCGTGACAAACCAAGTAAGATCCCGGAACAGGAATGAGGTCTCCCATTATTCTTTTCAAGGTAGGGTGATATTGCTATTCTGAAAATTTATAAAATTTGTTTACGATATAGCTTCTCTGTTGCAGGATTGAGCAGCAGTGAAATTCAAGAATGTTCTTCAGGATATGATTCTCATCTTGTTGCTGCCTTGGGAGTTCATTGGGCTCATTCTGTGACAATCCGTTTGGTGCTTGAAGCAAAATCTGGTTGGTACACTTTTACTGATTGTTGCCTTTTAGCTGACATAATGGACAAAATTACACTTGTTGTGAGATCCCACGTCGGTGGGCTCAGGCTGTTACACTTGTAATGCCGGTAGAGTTGATGGATCATCATCTTACCGATATTTTCTCGACTTGTTTCACTCTTAAACGAAAAGGGGGCAGTCAAAATTTAGAGTTGCTTCTAACAAATGTTTCATAACTCATCATTTCCGTCCTTCTCCTATAGGTCAGAGGTTTATAAAGCTTGCAAAGTCTCCCATGTCTCCACCTCTAGCTTTCCCATTCAGCATAACCTCATCCGGAATTTCCTTGCTGAGCGACAACGGAAAAGAACTGAGTGGAGCAGAGATCAACGAGATTCACTGCCAAGGTTAATAGTACCAACATAAACAACGCCTTCTCTTCATTTTCCTATTCTATCGGTCAACGGTCTGGTTGACTTAAGTTAGAAGCTCGATTACACTTAAAACATTTATGACATGTTTCCTCCTTGTTGGTAATCTTCTGTCAAATTATCAAAACGTTCTAAACTGATCTTACAAATTCGGTATCATTGCATGTTAATTGAGTTACCTCCTAACCTCATTGTCTGAAAATTATCCACCAAGGATGCTACGAGAAGTTGATGCTTTTAGTTGTATTTTATTCCACTATTCAGTCCAACACAGAGTTTCTTTTTTGCTTTTATATCTTTTAGTCATTTGATTTTACGACATTAATGCAGGACACAGTGACATTATCAGCTATCAATTAGGAAAGCAGCAGTGACCATTGCCACTGACATGCGAATACAATTGCTAAAAACTCAGTCTTCTCATACGTATACGAGACTTATGCTGACTCGATGGTTTCCTGTTGTGAGTGGTTGGTTATTATGGAAATAGTTGATTAATTCCCAATTATTATTTTCATTGTAGTTTCTTATGCAATTTTAACATTTGACATTGATTTCTTGAGAATCCATGATTTATTCTACCATTTTCTTTTCATTCTGGCTACGTTTACAGGATAGCTTAGAACTAACCAGCAGAACATGGAAGATGGAAAGATATCAAGGCTGCGGATGACTCTTGTTGGGAGGAATTGCATGCCTTAATTTCTTTAGTGATAAAAAAGTGTGGAAAGTACAGATAGGACTTTAGTTTCTTAGTGATAAAAATGTTTAGAAAGTACAGATAGATCGTCATTTTGATACATTTAAATGTTAGAACAAGGTTGACTTGAATTTGGACGTCCTTCAATGAGCTCCTAATTGGTACAATGGTATGTCGTGGCATTTACGTATATCCATTGAAGCTCTATGAATTGTTGCCTCGAAATTTTTTAATGCTGCACTTTCTTCTGATTATTATCTTGATGGTGAAGGTCCCAACACGGTGGTTATTCTTTTAGGCCCCTGAAGGTGGTGACTATCCATTTAGAGGATGAATCTTGCATTCTCTATCAAAAGTTCTGTTAATGCATCAAATCAATGTGGTAGACTAATGTTTCAAAGATTGCAAAACACCAAATTCTGGATCTCTTGGAACAACGGTATATCAAAACCATGGAATTTGTGTTATGTTCTGAACAGGTACGGAGTAATGCATTTTATGATCACAATTGTGTTTCATCATTCCAAACTTTCAAGTACAGCGAGCTCGGGAAGGAAAAAAAGGAGTTAACCCGAAGGTTCGTATTCGACGTTACATCCTGTCGCGAGACTTGGTCTGCTCGAGTAAAAATGGAAACTTGAAGTTGATTTATGTTTTATATTTCAGGGTTTTCTGTCAAGGAAGATTGGTTGCTGTAAGATGGAGAGAATTCTCCTGAACCTGTTTATGGGCATTTTTGCTAGTGGTTAGCTGAAACAAGGCAATCTCAATACTGGCCAATTAAGGAAGGTGGTTTGCTCAAACACTTCTCATTTTAAAAAATTGCTGACATGTTTGCTCATAAATTATGCTCTTTCTAGTAGATTCCCCATTCTCATTAGTTTATTTGATTGTGGGTGATTTAACTACTCCTAGTCACTTTGTATATTATATCTGAAAACATAATCGAGATCCACCAATTATCTTTAACTTTGAAAAATGAAGGATTAAAGAATGCAGCAACTTATCGAATCCTTAGACAAAGGAAATCTGTGAGATCCCATATCGATTGGAGAGAGTAACGAGTGCCAGTGAGGACATTGGGCCTCGAAGGTGGGCAGATTGTGAGATCCCACATCGATTGGAGAGGGGAACAAGTGCCAGTGAGGACGCTGGATCTTGAAGGGGGTGGATTGTGAGATCCCACATCGGTTGGGGAAGAAAACGAAGCATTCTTTATATAGATGTGAAAATCTCCCCCTAGTAGACGCATTTTAAAAACTTTAAAGAAAAATTCGAAAAGAAAAGCTCAAAGAGGACAATATTTGATAGCGGTAAGGAGCAAACTAAAGAACAGAAACAAACAAACAAAGAAAAGAAAAGCGGTTAAAACATAGAACTTTGGATGAAACCAACCAGTTAGAAACAGCTTCAAAATTGGTCCTTTACAATGCAAATAAAATCCTGTTGGTTGTGGAAAGTTAAGTTATTATTGACTGTCTCTTTGCTTTGGACATAATCTTGAAAGAAAAAAGAAGAAGAAAATATGCTTTATATGATAGGATTCATGTTGGTTGGTGTGACAAACTGACAGTGCCATCAAAGCACGAGCCTTTTAGATAAACTCAAAACCTTCAAATGGAAGAATGAATGACACACATATTAATCAAAGCCCTACCTGCTGTTTACCTGTTACATTGCTTTTAAAACACTATTCACTTAGGGGGCCAGAAGAAAACACCCAAGAATAAAATCTCTTGAAGAAATTCCTGATTCTTTTTTTTTTCTTTTTCTTTTTTTTTTTTTTCTTTTTTTGTAACAACAAATGGTTTTGTTTTGTTATGTTTTGTTTTGTTTTAGCCCCAAGTACACACACAAAGCACTTGAAATGCCTCCTCCAGTGGTTTGTTTAACAAAGAAAAGGTGGTTTTGAGATTGTGGGCAGTCCCAACATTGACATTTTCTTTTCTTAAAACTTGTTTTTTTTAAGGTTTCATGCTCTTTTCTGGCTTTTGTTCATTTTTATAGGATCCTATGGACTCATTATCGTCTCTATGTCTCTCTCTAGACAGTTGTGTATTTTTATTTTGCCGCGCCAGCAGTTGAGGTATTTTTTAATGCTTAATGAATGTCTAGCTTTTACGCTGTTTCTAATAAATTAATGAAGCATTATGCCCAGGTTAAGTCTGACTAATTTGGACTTGCCCACCGTTAGTAAATATTGTCTTCTTTGAGCTTTTCTCTCCTTAGCTTTCTTGTCATGTTTTAAAATGTTGATGGGAGAGGTTTTCACACCCTTATAATAAATAATGCTTTGTTCACCTCTCTAACCAATGTAGGATTTCACAATCCACTCTTTTAGTGGCCTAGCGTCCTCGCTGGACATCGCTAGGTGTCTGGCTCTAATACCATTTGTAACAACACAAGCCTACCTCTAGCAGATATTGTCCTTTTTGGGCTTTTGCTTCCGGACTTCCCTTAAGTTTTTAACACACGTCCACTAGAGATATTTCCATTTCATTATAAAGAATGTCTTGTTCGTCTCTTCAACCAATGTAGGATCTCACATTTCTGCATCTAGTTTGATCCAATATTGAATTTAGCAGGTCGGTTTTTATACGAAAATTGGTCAACAAAAATATTCTTATGAACATCTCATCTCATGAAAATAAATCATAGGACTAACTGAAGTTGTAAAGAAAAATTATACCAAAACTGAAATTTTATTGAAATTTGTGAGTTTTAAAAAATTGAATTAGTGAATTTTGAGATATCTTTATTTTTGTTTTAGGATTTATTAATGAATTTTGAGTTTGATTTATTTATTTGAGAAATAAATTCCATTACTTACTATTAATATTGATGTTAGCAGTGCAATATTCAAATATATATGTTCATCTTATTTTTTAATTCATTAATTAATGCATTACACGTACAAAGTGCGTTGTTTGTTTGTTGTTAATTATTGACTTTATCCATTGGATTTAATCGAAGGATTTTTTGCGAATTCAAAATACTGTTGTGATTCATGTGAAGATTATCTCTACAATATACTTTTATACAAATATCTAATTAAAAAATTCCTAAAAATAGAGGACCATATGATTATTAAATATTTATAATATATTGTAAAATAATACTTATACTTTATAGTATAAAATATATTCATAAATTAATAATATTTAATTGATAACTATTTTTATAGTTTATAAATATATTTTTAATCATTATTTTTTAAAAAAATAATTTAATGGATTATTAAATCCAAATATATTATTAATGTAGTTATTTAATAATAAACTTAGTTTAGAGTTTATATATAAAAAAAAGATAGAAATATGAATAAAATTTATGAATTTATTATAAATAATTAAATAAATAAAAGTACAAGAAATATATCCGACGATACCTCGTTTAGTTGGTATACGATAATCCTGACAGACCAATAATTCAGACTTTCCCCCAAAAATAGATAATTAAGGAAAATTTTAAAAAAAAAATTTAAAAAAAAGGTAAAAGGTCAACATCGTAATTTCAGAGTAAAAGGAAGATTATGAAGAGTAGTGTACAAGAACAACCATTGATCATATCATACCTATTACCAATAATTGAGTTTTAGAGAGAGAGAACAAATAATAAAATATTATTATTTAATAAAATATTATTAAAAAAAAAAACAGATCGTTTCACAAAACGAAACGTTTAAAATATTATAAAATTTACTTTGTATGAATGGATACAGCCCGTCCACGTCGACAAGTTTCCAATAACCTTGCCGACAATTTGCTCCCCATTAAAATAATTCCAAAAAATTCATTCCACCCCATATTCTATTCTACTTGCCTTTCCCAAAATATCCTTACATTCCAATATTTTAAATTACCGATGTTTCTTTTTATAAAAAAAAAAATTAATATACTTAAATTTAAAATTTTGTATTTATTTATATAAATAAGACCAAAAATTTATAATAATAGACCGGAACGAGTGTCAATTGAAATATACTTAAGTTGAATTTATTTATTACTTTAATTTTTTTGTTTTTTATTTACTTTTAAATTTAATAGATGTAATAATAATACTAATTATATTGATAGTCTAATGAGTAGGATTACATTTATTTAATTTAATTAAACGGTCTAATTTTTAGCCTAATTAAGCAAATTTAGATTTTTTTTTTCTATTAATTAAATAATTTAACACTTAAAAAGATAAGATTTGAATATCTAAACTTTATATATTATCATATTAACACTTTATTGCGGATTGAATTAATGTATGATTTGTTGATGTTTAGTTAGGTTTATTTATTATAATTATTATTAGTTTATTTAATTATTATTATTACTACTACCGTTATTTTATGTATACTCTAAATCGGTCTATTTGATTTTGGCTAACTACTTTTGACGTGGTTGGTTTATCGGATTCATTTATTTTTAAAATAATAATAATATCAAATTTATTTAGTCATAATCTATATCATATTCACATTTGTGACGTTATGTTGCTATTTTTATATTTTTCTCGATTTTTCTTACTTTATAATTGAAATGTCGACATTTATTATTGTGATATCTAAGTCGGAACTACATTCAAATAAGAATTCAACTTTATTTACATTCATAAAAATAATAATTACTATTTAATTATAGATATATTTTAAAGAATTAGTATTAAAAGTCGTGCATATTTCATATTCTTTGTTTTATTTTCAACTAAAACAACTTTAAGAAAACAAATCGATTAGGTTGTATGGCACTGTGACCTATATGGGTCACGATCTCATGTATTTATAGATGTGTATAATGAGCATTACATTGTAATAAACCATGAAATCATAGATTTAGTAACAAAGCACGAAATCATAAATTCTCCTTGATTCATATTAACAATCAGTAGATTATCTTAGTATATACAGATATGATCTATTTTACGTTTAATACTCCTCAATCTGGACGATATACTGCTAGCTAGCAGGAACGGCCATCTTAGTCAATTTTAGTTCAATTGTTTTTTTTCTTTTTTAAGAATTTCCTTTTTATTTTCGACAATATTTGTTTGAATATTTTCAAAATCACATGTTCAAAGATCTTGTCGTTTTTCTCTTGCAAAATATATATATATATATATAAAAAATAAAAATCTCCAGGAAAAAAAAAAAATTCCTATTGCATGAGAATAATTAACTGTTTTTTTCCACACTATTTTAAAATTAGTTTAGAGAAAACCCCTCAGGCTTCTAAAAGGACCAATAATAATTTAATAATTCATTTAAATTTTATAAAAACGTTGTAATTATTATAGATTTTTATATTATTAATTATTGTTATTATTATAGTAATTTACTTTTTCCATACAATCTTAACATGGGGCATAAATTTTTTATTTAATTTAGAGGCAAATGGTGAGATTATGCCTCAATTATAGAGATTAATTAAATATTTAAAGCTATGGTCCATATTTAAATTAAATTTAAATTATAGATACTACATTCATAATTTAACATAATTTATTAATTATACTAAAAAAAAACCTAATTTTTATAATTGAAATCCAAACCACAAAAATTCATC